TATTTTGTAGGTTGGATCTGAATTTGAAAAATGGAACGACTGCATTTTTTTTTTTTTGAATTTTGCGGGATGTGGGTTTGAAAATGGTTGTGGAAGCGAGGAAGAAGATGGAGCAGGGCAAGGAAGGAACGATGTGCGACGAGCAGGACGAGCGACGTTGGGTCTTAGACGACTGACTCTCGCGATTTTCTCTCTATCAGAAGAGGGCTTATGAATCCGGCCGAAATTGGGTTTGCTCGTTAAGAACGGCTAAGGAGGTAGTTAATCCAAGCGAGTCCGGGTTAAGCTCATTAAAGCTAATCCGGATGCACACCAAACAAAGGACTATAGTCTAGTCCAGTCCAATCCTTCTTAATCCTGTCAAACAAACGTGCCCTTATAGTCTTAAGAAATGTGTAAGTATTCATTAAAATGAATAAAATAATAAAATTTAATAATTACTCCTAAAAACCTAGAGCCGTGTGTGATTACTTCCAATGAAACCTTAAATAATAAAATACTAAAACCTAGTTTTTAAAACCTTGTAACTAATCCCTAGGAAATCTAAAAATAATAAAATATTAAAATGTATAGACTACTCCCTAGCAAACCTAGGAAGCGTGTTCAGAACTTTCACTAAAGTAAACAATTTATTTAATATTTTTTAACTCTTTCTTTAGTCTCTTTGTCAGAACTTTTACTTATTGGGCGGCTATAATAATTAAAAATAATAAAATAGTCTAAATTATTAGTATTTTTATGACACACCTCGATCCTAGAATCAATGCGTGCTGGCCGTCACGTCTTGATTATAGGATCGGGGTGGGCCCCGACCACGCCCTCACGGTTTTGTTTTTGGGAACTCACGAGCAACTTACCAGTGGGCAATATCATGCTACGGTGGTGGAGCGGGCCCAGGAAGTGATCCACCCCGGGCCGGAATGTGACATTTTAAGCCCAAACAATTAAAACTCTCCCTAGAGCCCATCCTAACCTTATTACCGCCTCTGCTGTTTGGCAGGTTAGACGGGCAGAGGCACAAAGGCAGATTAGTAAAATAAACTTGATCATACCAGAGATGAACCACTGCGTCCTGACTCATATTATAGAGAAGGCAACAGAGCCGCGGATAAGTTTGCAAAAATGGGGCATAGTTATGGAAAGCCTCATATGTGGCAGCACATTCCTCCCAATGAAGTGTTATCCATCATGCAAGAAGATGCCGAGGGTAAGATCATTTTTCATAAAAGATAAGAATTTAATGCATGCATCCTTCATCCGTATATATTTGTGCTGCCTGGGATAGTGCTATTTTGATGCATAAGATGCTCATTTTTTGAGTTCTTTGGTCAATTAGTTCTTATATATACGTACAGAAACAGGAATTAGTTGATATCATTACCATTGTTCTAAAAATCGGCCTAGGCGGCTGCCTAGGCTTTGGGCGGTGGAGCCCCGCTCCGATTTTGGGCAAGGCGTTTGGAAAAATCGGCTGGAAGCTAGGCGGTCCTAGGCGGTTTTTTTTTTATATATATATTTTTTGTATTTTTTATTAATTGTGTGTTTTTTTTCGTTTTTGGTTTCATGGTGGTATACTTATGGAAATGGTGTATCTAATTTGCAAATGATGGATTTACTACAAGTTCATCTAAGTGTACCTAATTTGCATTTTATCATTATTTTATTATCCATATAAGTATAGGTTTTTTTAGGTGTAAATAGGCACTTATTTACAAATAAATTTACATAAATCTGCCTAGGTCCCGTCTAGCCGCCTAGGCGCTGAACCCCTACTCGCTGCCCGACTAGCGCCCAACGATTTTTAGAACCTTTATCATTAGTCACTTAAGCTTGTAATTTATGAAACTTTGTAAATGAAATATTAGGGCTTTAGAGAGGCTGGGGTGCCTCCAACACCGTGTCTATGATTGTTTACATTTGCTCATCATTTTCCAATGGGTGTGATGCTAACATTCATCTTCTAACTATCATACAAAGAGAAATGACTTCCGCACTCTCATTTCTCCCTCTTTTACTAGTGTTTGAATTGAACAAATTAAAATAGAATTAAGGCATATTAAACAAGAAAAGAAAAAAAAGCAGTGCAAAAGTAGAAAACGAGAGTTTGAAAATAGTTGCAATATAAGAATAAGGAATCTGGTTTGGAATTCAGGGTCGTTGCCATGTATTTCAAAGAATATGTTTTGCCTATAACTGGTAGGTAGGATTTGGAAATATGCATATGAGTTTCAAAGTTGGACCTTCCCTTTAATCATGCGAATTATACGCAAACTAACTTTTTAAATTCAATTTGTAAACTATATGATTGTGTTATTAATAAGAAAATATGTTAAACAATAATTAAGTAATAATTCAATCATCAACAACCGTGTCATTTAGTTTACAAAATTTAGTTTTAAAAGTTCTCTCCCTAGCATTGACCTTTACATGCATAACCTAATCTCTCTTAATAAAATCACCTAACAATCACGATGATTTCAAGAAAATAACAGATCTCGAGAGAGGGTTTTGGGGTTAATTTAGGTGGAGATGTAGTGTAGTACGGTACCATAATCAGCAGTACACATCTAGAGCAGCAATAGTTTTGAGCTGGTAGTACAAGGTCAAGAGATTAAATATAACGTTGTGTACTGCATCTTCAAATTGCTAGTTGCTACAGCCAATTATATAAAGGAAAAGACTCGTCTCAGAGGAGGCATCAATAATTTTATGTATGTTACATATGGAGCTCAAATCAATCATGCCTTTGATCAGGAAGTTCAGCACTGGAGGATCCAGATTGAAGAAACATCATTGAGTGCAGCGTTGATGAAAGTCCGTATTCCTTACGAATCTTCATTAGGCATCGGAAACTTTCGTCAGCTGTGCACCCAATTATGTTTCTATCCATTTTTGCAAAGTGCTCAGCTATTATTTCAATTTTCGACAATATTATGGTAACTAGGTCTTGATCTTCAACGCTTGGGAAGCTAGTAAGTCCTGGAAATGCTGTGGAAAAATCTCTAGTACGTAATATATGTATGTATATGTGTGCGTGTGTGTGTGTGTTTGTTCAACGCTTGATCTTCAATTAGCCTGCAGGCCTTTCTGAGATTGCAAATGTTTTTCATTTCTCTCCTCAATCAGCAAAATGCTAAATTATTTTGTTCTTAATTTCTTTGAATTTGACTTTTAAGGAGAGAGTAGGAAATTAGGAATTAACTACTGTTATAATATATTTATGACTATTTGATCTATATATTCAATTTCTTCATTGGAGCAAAGCATGAACGCTTTGACTTTTTCTCAGTTTTTTTTTTTTTTTTTTTTTTTTGGTGTTCTTTCAACCTCCCAATTGTTTGGGGGAAAACATCAAACCTTAATTAAAAAAATAAGTGTTTAATTTAGAATAGAACAAAGGATGAGGAGTACCAATTTTGTAAGCACTTCCTAATTTGGTAAAATAATGAGGTTTACAGCAGAATATATTAGATATATATATATATATATTTTTTTTTTTCCAAAGAGTAGTGTTACATACACCAAACTAGCACAAGCCGAAAGCGGAGAAATTAACCAATGTTAGTCTTTAGGAAAATTTGGAGCAGACAAAGTCTAGCTGGTACTACAAATCCCGGCTGGTTTTCAGTCAGAAATTGTCGAAAAATGCCAATTCCGGTGAAATGGGAATAGCCCAAGATTGGATGGACCATGTTGAACTTAATTTGGTGGATCTTCAAAACGCAAAACAGCAAACGCTAGCATTGGAGGGGTTCTTTAGGAACAACAAGGCAGAATTCTTGCTAGGGTTTGCTGAAGCCATTGGAGAAGCCAACAGCACCATTGCTGAGTTGGTAGCCCTAAAAAGAGGCCTCGAGTTGGTGTTAGAAAATGGCTTTAGAGACGTGTGGATTGAAGGAAATGCCAAAGGCATTGCTTGATATTATTGTGAAGAAAAAGAAGGCAAGATTATCATCCGCAGATGATGACGCATAGAGATCAATTCTTCATTTATATAATGTTGACGTGAAGAAGAACATATTTACTAGTTATATCATCATAAATTGTCTGAATCTCAAGACGTTGGTTGAACCAATTGTGAATATTACTTCACACAGATTTGTATATCAATCTGCATTTTTCAAATGAAAGAAAAAAAGATAGTTTAATTAAGCCATTATTCTGTTTTAAATTAGGTTTAAATGACCTATATAATTAACTAGAAAGCTATATACAGCATGCTACCTGGAAATAGCAATATCTTGGAAATGGTACATTGCAGGCTTTCTTTTCTTTGTTATCAACTATAATTCTTCCAAATGACCATAAAAGTGAGTAAAAAGAGAGCTACGATGCGACATGGGAATATGACACGACACGAGGATTACGAGGGAATACCCCATACATTGTAAAAGGAGAGTAATCCGTAGGTGCAAAAAACGAGAACACGTTACCTTAATAAACTAATTTAATCCACATTTACATGCAAAGCTGGTTCATAACTTAAATTTTGAACTAGCAATTAACTGAGACATACGTACCCTGCATGTTTTATAAATCATGTTGTTTCTCATGATTGCTCATGAAAGTGAAGAAGTTTACATGCTGCACAGTATCATGTCAGACAAGGCAAAACCAGAAAACGATTTCAATAAGCAGAGAATCGGTTGCATCAATCAAAACTGCATACAAACTATCAAAAATTTGCAAATACAAAATGTAACGAGACTCAAACAACAACAATAACAACAAAACTTTATCTCACTAATTGAGGTTGTCTCTATCCTAGAACGTCACCGCATTCAATTTTGCATCAAATTTTTCTCGTCAGGGTGAGAGATTCAGAAAATAAAATAAAAAGAATTTGCACCCAATTTTACTTACTGTCACTGAACCAGCTTCCAATCCAACCAAATTCATACTAATAACAGTAATAAAAAATAAAAAATAAAAATCTTTTTCGAAAATATGAGAAAAATATGATGATCCAGTGCAGCAGCAGAGTTGCAGGGTTGGAATTGAGAGTCCTGTGATTGGTGCCATATTCATTTGAATCATGATTTCTTGAATCTGACCAGATTCAAGATTTTCGAGACCAAATTAGACTCCTTCTTCCCCTCTAATTACGGAATCTGCCCCTTTAAACTAAATCTTTCGGATTAAGCTCCATCTGTTTCTCCCAATAAATACAAAACCAAATAAAATCCGCAGAACCCTAAAAGTTAATCCCTTTCCTTTCTCAAAAGCCCCTGGCTTTGTCTCTCTTTTTCTTAGACGGGAGCGTTGTCCCGAGAAAATTCGATATTTTCTGGGAAAATCAGATCAATTTTGTGGAATGGGCGAGGAGGGTGCGCTGCCGGACCATCTGCGGTGCAGCCGGACCGACGGCCGGCAGTGGCGGTGCAAGCGGAGGGTCATGGACGACATGAAGCTCTGCGAGATTCACTATCTGCAAGGCCGTCACCGTCAGTTCAGAGAGAAAGTCCCCGAGTCACTCAAGCTCCAGAGGACGCCCAAAAACGCGGGGAAGAAAGATCAAAACGGCAGCGGAGTCAAAATTAGGGCACGGAAAGTGGAGAATTTGGTGAAGCTGCTGAAGCGGAAGCGATCCGACGAGGCGGTGAAGAATTGCAAGAAGAAGAAGAGGAAGGTGAAGTTGAAGAAGAGCGAGTTGAATTTGGAGCTCATACGGATGGTGCTGAGGCGGGAGGTCGAGAAGCGGAACCAGACGACGACGAAGAACAAGGTTGTGGAGGAGAGTGAGGCGGATGACGACGACGACGACGACGATCGCGGCGGTGGTGGTCTCACCAGAGACTTGCCTAATGGCCGAATGGCAATCTCGTCGTCTTCGTCGCAGTCGCCGAGGCTTCGTTCCGGCAATGCAGGTTCCAATTCGTCTTCTGATGGGAAGGTCGGGGCTGATTTGAACCCGGTTACTACTCGGCGGCGGTGCTTTCGGTCCAAAAACATCGAGCCAATGCCTGCTGGCACATTTCAGGTGAGCTGAATGACTGAAAGAAACAATTTTGATCTATGGTTTTTTTAGTGGTTTTTGAAATTCTATTCTTTTCGTTTAGTTTCTGCCATATAATGTGGGGAAGTTGAGGAAGGGGAAGAGGAAAAAGTGCCATTGGTGTCGAAAAAGCGGGAGCGGTGTTTCTTCCTGTCTAATTAAGTGTTCCAGTTGCCAGAAGCACTTCTTTTGCTTGAATTGCATCAAAGAAAGGTTTGTTTTGTGTTTTGTAGATTATATCGGTTTTCATTTCTTTTTCAGTTACCTCGTCAAATGGATTCGGTTGTCATCAGTTAAAATACTGGCCTTGAATACTGAAATGTACGTTTATTTCACCACTATCTTTCGTTTGGTCCGAGAGACTGAATTTTTTAATAAAACTTTATAAAGAACTTGAATTGCCGTCACACGAGAGAATTCACCCTTGTCTGCGTACTCAGAAGCCATGCTTGTGTAGAATATTCTGCATCCTACATGATGAAAAGGTTATTAAAGACTCAGAGAGAATCAAATTCTCTCGGCCCGAGTTGATTGGTAGAAATAGACCACATTGAAAAATTATTCATATGCTCTTCAGCTGTATGCTATAGTTCATCTCCTTGTTATATCTGAGAAGGCTTGATGAATCTTGGTTCTTAAAACAATTTAGGTACTTTGATACACAAGATGAAGTCAAAATGGCATGCCCAGTTTGTCGAGGAACTTGCCCTTGTAAGGAATGCTCTGAAAATCAAACAAAAGACGCTGAAAGTAAGGTCTGACATTAAAGTTAGCTCATTTGTGGACTTGGTCGTGCTTCGTATGAAGTTGGATGCTAACGATTCAAACCATGCACTCTTTTTTTTTATCTCAGGATTATTTGGGGGTTAAGAATAAAGTTGAAGTAATACTACAGTTCCATTACCTGATCTGTATGCTTCTTCCTGTGTTAAAACAAATAAACCAAGATCAGAAAGTTGAGCTAGAAGCAGAGGCCAAAATGAGAGGTAGTGTGTAATTCTACTCAGAATGTTGCTCTTTGCGCCAACTTTGTGGTCATAACTGGAAAATGCTATTTTTTCTTTGTAATACCAGGGGAAAAGCTATCTGAAGTTCATATCAAGCAGGCTGAATATAGCTGCAGTGAACAACACTACTGGTATGTTCTATAATTCTGCAATGTTTTAACAGTTCGATTGAAATTTATGTAATGTTCTTGCATTAATTCCCTGGTGCATCATTGACTTTTGGAACAGCAATAAATGCAAAGCTTCAATAGTGGATCTCCATAGAAGCTGCCCAAATTGTTCCTATAACCTCTGTCTAAGTTGTTGTCGAGATCTGTTAAGTGAGAGCCTTTTTGGTGGTATAAACACATCTCTCCTAAAGCACTCCAACAAAAAGAAAACTTGCGTCTCTGGTAAGAAGCAACTTGTAAAGAAGCCAATAACTGCCCATGAGCAAAGTGTCCATAGTTTGTACCATTCTTCTTCTGCACCAGTGCCTAGCTTGAAAGCTTGTGATGCTGTTAATGGTATATCTTGCCCAGCTAAGGAGTTTGGAGGTTGTGGTGACAGCCTCCTTGATTTGAGATGTGTTTTTCCGTTAAGTTGGATCAAAGATCTAGAAGTAAGTGCAGAAGAAATAGTTTGCAGCTATGAATTTCCAGAAACTGCTGACATGTCTTTGTGCTGCCCACTATGTTTGGGTGTGGACCAGAAAGTTGATGGGCATCAACAGTTGCAAGAAGCTTCTGTGAGAGAGAACTCAAATGATAACTACTTATTCTACCCCACTCCTGTGAACACAAATGGTGATAATGTTGAGCACTTTCAGAAACACTGGAGTAAAGGTCACCCTGTAATAGTGCGTGACGTACTTCAAGCTACATCAGATTTGAGTTGGGATCCAGTGTCCATGTTCTGCACTTATCTTGAGAGGAGCATTGCTAGATATGAAAACAACACAAATTCACATGAAGCTATCCACTGCTTGGATTGGTGCGAGGTCAGCGAAGTTCTACTGTTGATAGAATAGTTCTCTTTTAATTCACGATTGTCTACACCTAATCCCATTCTCAATTTTAGCCCTTACAATGAAAATGATTGTGTTCTCTCTGCATCTTTATCTCCTTATCTCTAAAGTTTCCAAGTACACATAATTATCCTACCATCCGGCCTTCTTTCTTTTAAAAGAAAAATATAATATGGCAGGTGGAACTTGGAATCAGGCAGTATTTCATGGGTTCATTGAGGGGGCAGGCCCAGAGAAATGTATGGAATGAGACACTGAAGTTGAAGGGTTGGCTTTCTTCGCATTTGTTTCAGGAACAGTTTCCCGCTCATTATGCTGAAATAATACGAGCTCTACCACTTCAAGAATACATGAATCCCATGTCTGGTCTTTTAAATCTTGCTGCAAGGATCCCACAAGAAATCCCAAAACCCGATCTAGGTCCATGTGTTTATATATCATATGGCTGCACCGAGCAACTTGTACAAGCTAATGCAGTGATAAAGCTATGTTATGACTCATGCGATGTGGTATGCCTTGTAATTATCCCTTTTACTTAGCTGTCAAGTGATTTCTTGTTTCTTTTGATGTTGTGCTGCAATGACAAAATTAGGCACCATATCATATCAATTGTTGAAGAAACTGTAACTGCTTTCTGTGCATATTATTTGAATTTATAGATTGATACCTAAGCAGTCTCACCTCACCTGAACAACTTCACCAAGCATTAATCTAAATCTTGGTCCATGAAATTGTAATTTTTAAACTTGCTTAGTACAAATTTAGGTGGAAGAGCATGGAGAAAACCATAAGCTGTATGCTAAAGCTTCACGTTTTTTATTTTTTGTTAAAGATTAGTTTTGCTTAGGTAACATATATATTTTCAAGTCTGGGTGTTCCATTTCATTTATTCTGTTGATTTTTTATACCCCAGGTTAACATTTTGGCACATGCATCAGATGTCCCTATCTCTGATGAACAAGTTTCTAAAATAAGAAAGTTACTGAAAAAGCACAAGGCTCAAAATCAGAGGGAGGTTTCTAGGGTTGCTTCTGAACAATCTGTGGCAAAAAAAGTCAATGGAGAACCAGTATTGTATGGTGAAACCATGAAAGAAGCAGGGCTACATAATGTGATTGGAGAGGAGATGCATTTACGCAAAAGAATTGCTAGAGAGTCTTGCTTCTCCATGCATGAAGCATGCGCAGATGCTGAAGCATCTGATTCTGATTCTGAAGCCACATTAAGTAGCTCTGGGACGCTTCATGATGCTGAAACATCTAAAGATACAAAGTGTGAGGTTCTGCTCGACAGCTGCAATAGCTATGAAAAGCAATCCTTGGACGAGTGTTGTGGTGCCCAATGGGATGTTTTTCGCAGACAAGATGTTCCGAAACTTATAGAATATCTCAGAAGGCACTCTAATGAATTCACTCGTAAATTTGACTTTCATAAACATGTAAGCCCAAAACCTGTAGCTACTGCATTTGAGTAGATCAGGTTAAACTCTATCTTACTTTTTGACGTCCACGCTTACTGCAGGTTGTTCACCCCATTCTTGATCAGAGTTTCTTTCTAGACTCAAGTCACAAATTAAGGCTGAAGGAGGAATTTAGTAAGTGCAATTCGTGTCATTTCCATCACTGGTTGAATTATGAATAACTGAAGTTAACGCGCCACTCGTTGTCACCAGAAATTGAGCCTTGGACTTTCGAGCAACACATTGGAGAAGCTGTTATCATCCCTGCTGGATGCCCATATCAGATTAGGAATTCTAAGGTGTGTAACACTGTTATGATCTAGCATTTAGAAAAACCTTTTGAATCTTTTGTATTTTACTACTTTTGAATTTTTGGAATGATTACCAAGAATTTGTACAGGACTTGCACTTATTATGCTGACAAGTTTATTGTTTCTGCCAAGTGTCACAATACTGTACATTCTGTTTCTTTTGACATACAGTCTTGTGTACATGTGGTGCTGGACTTTGTATCACCCGAAAACGTTGCCGAGTGCATCCAGTTGACTGATGAAGTCCGTCTACTTCCAGCAGACCATAAAGCAAAAGTTGACAAGCTAGAGGTGAACTTTTATCGATCTTAGTACCAATGTCATATTTTCTCCATAATATGCATAAAACTTGATCAGTGATAGAAAGTGTCTGCCCTTGTCATGAAATGCAGGTGAAGAGAATGGCCCTTTATAGTATTAGTTCAGCAATCAAAGAAATACGTGAGCTTACTTGTCCAATGTAAGCACCCCTGCTGAGGAAGACATTTATCTCCTCTGTGCTTCCCACATTTAGCACCTGCAGAATTTCCAGAAAAAGGAAAAGAAAAATGGAGATTCTTCCTTGGACATGTCAAGATGTTGCATGACACAGTTGGTATTTTAAACGATTGTCCAGTATCCACTGCTTGTTTGTAAATGCTGCGCTGCTCATGCTCTAGGTGCCCAAATTGTTGGACTCTATCCATACTCCCAATTAAAGGTATAGAACTCATACGTTCCTATTAAATCATACTGCTATCATTGACTGGTATTTGGAATGACGATGCATGTGTTGTGTGTGTGTGTGTGTAAACCTTTGCTCAGCCGCTCATTCTCTCCATTCTTAAACATTTCATGGTGCTCTGGTGCTCTAGCAAAGTACGCAAACTCTTACACAGCTCTTAGAAAATATAGGTATCTGTTTTGTTCACTGCCATGAAGAATACTGTAGGATTGTCTGAGCACTAACCATGTTCCCTTACAGGTAATGGCTAGATGATCACGGCTATATCTTCTAGGAACATCTGGAAACTGCGTCAGCTGTAGTTTGTGAAGAGGCTGCTTCGATTCGTTTAGATTCTATTGTACAGAGAAGTGTATATACACTCTTCGTTTGTTGCGGTCTTGACAAAAGGAGCGAAGTGTTACTGTTCCCTCCTAGCAGAGAGAAAAAGAAATAGAAGGAATGGGAGCATTGATCTTACTTCAGATGGGGAAATGATTCTCGAAGCCCTACTTCATTACCGAGAAGCGTCTGAATATGTGCTGGTACAATTCCATTTCATGTAAAAACACGACATATAACCGTGATGTTTTCCTTTTCTTTTAGGGGCATAGAACATTTGAGTCCGAGTCGCTGCTGAATGCTTTTCGGATGGCACAAGAACTAGCTTCCCAAAACTAACCTTGTTCAGCGTAGGTATTGTAACTTGTTTTAGAAATAATGTACACAAGTTTTAATATCCTCGTCTTCTTGTTGGCTAATATTGGATTACTGATCGATTCCAGATCTTTTTATTATTTCTTTTCCTAAAAAAGAGACCAGATGGTGGCCTAACCACGGCACTTCATTTTTTCGGGGAACTCAATGAGGCATTTCAGCCTTGCTCTGACTATCATCCTGCTTGCCCTTGGCATTTCTGATCTTTTTAGTGTGATTAGCAAATTTGCGCGTGGAAGTTGGCGGACATTAATTTCTTTTGATAGAAAAAGAGTAGATTTTGGTTTTGAGCGGATGCTTGCTCCACTTGAAAGCGTTGGTTTTCGTCAGCTTAGATCACCTGCATCCTTCCACCTTCCCACCGCATCACATATAGACTTGAGAAATGCTAAGGAGACTCAAAAGCGGGAGTATCCGTGGACTTCCTGCATCCTCATGTTTTTTGCACAATATTTTATAATGTTAGCATGAGAATTAACATGAAACTGTGAGACGTCAAAGAGTCAATGGAGAGTCACTTTAAGAGTCTCCTTCGCATTTCTCTGTAAATTTTAGCCAACAACACGTTTGTAAATTCCTGCATTTTCTGGCTCGATCGAGAGGAGAGTAACTTGAACTCTTGTAATGTCATAGAAAGAATGAGAGAATGATAACTTGTGTCAATAAGTTTTTATACAAAGAACAAATGTGTAAAAATTAATAAAATTGGAAGCTGTACAGGAAGGAAACGTAGTACTAAGATTGAAAGAATGGTTCTTCACTTTATTTCTTTTCTTTTCCCTCTACTGTTTTTGCTTGGTGTTTCTCAGGCTGCAAAAAGTGGAAACGCTTTTCTGCGATAACAAACTACACACGAAGGATTCAACCTTCAAAATTCTACTGCAATTTATCAACAACAAAAATTTGAATGAAATTAAAGATCAAGGCAGTCGCGTCGAATCGCTTGGGACGGGTGTATTTCGGGTTTTAGAACTGTCAAAATTGTTTTGTCATTGTACCACTGACAAAGACCTTCTTATGGAGCCATTAGTCCCTCAATTGTGTACGAAAGTGACTTTGCCCAGTCAGCTTTGAGAAGTAGCGTTTGCAATGTGTCCATCACATTGTATGCAGGATCGAGTTTCCGCTGCCATCCCTGCAAAACACAAAATCGGTGAGATATGTAGAGCAGTTATTCACGAGCAACTGCCTCTAAGCAAGTTAATTTTACCGACGAGATCACTCAAATAATGATTACAGAATGTAACAGGAGGTTTCATTTCATAAGAGAATAGTGATGCCTCAGGTGTGGTGGATATATAAAGGAAAACGAAATTACCTCGAGAACCAAAGTTGTTACCATGACAGTACAGACATTGCCATCAACATTGACTCTATGACGCCTAACTTTCTCCAGTAACTGCTGCATACACTCAGCAGGATGGACCAGATCACCTTCTGGAGTTCCCCAGAAATCGAATGACTCCTCCACTTCCTGTTAGAACAATAGTAGATTGAGGGAAACTTGTAACACAAGCATCTCAAGTTCGTAATAACATTTAAGAACTGCATTTTTCTACAACCTTAACACACGAATAAATGAAACAAGGAGTGAATAGTACACTTATCACATCTTGCAACTGTGCTTAATAGAATTCACACTTCCGAGACAAGAAATTAATACCAGGAAAGTTTGATTCAAAAAGATTTCTAAGTATGAAATTAATAAACTTCCAAGTTCCAATTGAAAAATCAAATCATGCAACCTTATCAAAATCATTCCTACGAATAAATAATAAGTTGCCTGACAATTTTACCTCAATGAAAGCCTTTGGGTTAGGGCATTTCTGTTGCTTAGATAGTCTGAGGGTGGACTCAGCAGCAGTGCGCCCATCACGACGAGCAACCGCCTTGAAAAATTCCACTAAATTTACTCTATCATGTTTAGAGAGTTCAGCAGTCATGCCTACATCAAGGAAAATGACATGAGGATTTGATTTGAAGAGTCTATTCCTAGAAGACTTGTTCTTAGGCACCCGGACAAGGATATTTCCAGGATGCATGTCTGCATGAATAAAGTTGTCCACCTGCAAGAAGAAATTCTGATAACTTAGAACGTACTGAAAAGTACCAAAGACCAGAACATCTGAGTTCTCACTAACAATCAAACCACAACAAATCAAGCATATAACCAAGTACTCTCTCTCTCTCTCTCTCTCTCTCTCTCTCTCTCTCTCTCTCTCTCTCTCAACCTACTTGACCACTTTAGAGGGGAGATGTTGGAAGACAGACCAACAAAGAAAAAACAATCGACCATGTTCCAAAATGCTAAACTAAAAACAAAATAAAAAGTTACACAGTGCATAATGGCAAGCTGGCCTCAGAGACTGTTGCCACTTCCCCTGTAGTCATCTTCTCGTTCATGCATGTGAAAACTATACCTTTTTTATTTTATTTTTAAGTATCTGACAATCTTTAGCTATATCAAACAGCAGAAATCACTAACTTTAACATACAACAAGATGCGTATGAGGTTTAAACACAATGAAATCACCATAGCTAAAGCAGAAATACATTGCAAGAAACATCAAGGGTGTGAATGTTACCAGGAGCATCTTCAAAAGTGCATGTGTCCCGATGTGAGCAAGTGCAGATTTAATCCGTTCATGCCCTTCAAGACCATCAACATAGTGTGACACACATTCCCCTTGTTCATAAGTTTCCACCAGAACAGCAGGATGCACAAGTGGATACAAAGGCTTCGGGAAAGAGACATCCTTCCATCTACGGAAATTATAAATAAAGCGGCTCAAATGGGCAGCTTCCCTTGCAAGGTCAACTTGAGACATCATAAAAACTGCAAACTGCTGCACACTTTCATCCAATCTCCACCACTTTAAGGCAGGAATGAACTTTGAAATTTTTGCGACCAGATTGATTATAACAAAATCTCTCCTAATTGATTCACCAACACCAGGGTGTCTAACCTTTACTGCAACTACCATGGGCTTCACCCGTTGACCAGGGTACCTAAATCTTAAAGTAGCTCGATGCACTTGAGCAATACTTCCAGATGCTACTGGTTTCTCTTCAAAATTGTCAAAAATCTCAGGCAGCTTGCGGCCAAACGCTCGTTCGATAGTTTTCTTTGTGTAGGCAAAGCTATGTTCAGGAGCTTTGGTGTGAAGCTCAGAGAGCTTGGTGCATAGATCTCTCGGGAAGAGATCAGGCCGTGTAGCTGCCCATTGACCCCATTTGATGAAAGCTGGACCTGCCAATTCCAATGTTCGGAGAACAACATGAAGCCACAACTTCCTAAACTCAGGTCCAAAGCAGTCAGCAAATACAGCCATCACTATGCTGGGTGTGAACAAGATTCCTAAGGTGACTGTTCTTAATACCAAGATTGTCCCTTCTAAAACTGCAAACGCTAATGAGGTCATAAAAGCATGTCCATCCTGTGCGTGCATATACAAAGTATTTGATGGTGGGTGGTATTCTGTTTCTGCCAAAGACCTCTGTGACCATGCTAACTTCCCACTTGTGAAGGCAAAAATACCAGGAAGCAACAGGTTAGAGCGGGTTACAGCCAAGCTGAAAGCTTGTGCAAATTTATTTATACGCGAGAATCCACGACCACTTGAGGAAAAACTTTCAGAGAGCCTTTTCCAAGCAACTTGGGCATGGTGTCTCACTGCACTCCTTGCGGGAATGACACCAAAACTCGTGGAAAAATTCTTCGTGTTATTATACAATGAAAATGAGGCATGTCCTCTTGTAGGAAACGTATAGTCCCTGTATAATCTGTATTGGGGAAGACGGAGGCTAACTCTAACAATTGTCCCATACTTGACCGCTTCAGGACAACTCTGTTTCGGGCTATTAACCACCGTATTCGCAACTTTCCTAAAACTCCTAAACGTCAAAAATCTGCATTCCAAATACCAAACCCAAATAAAATCAGCATACTACCATTCCAATTCACAAACATATAAAAAAATCGCTTCATTACTCAGGAAAAATAAGCAGTCCATTCCCATTTGCAACATTGATTCATACATTCAAAGGAACAGAGAAAATGATGAACAAGCACCCAATTTTCCAATGTTTCTACACAAATCAAAGGCAATTGCTTTCTCAAAAAAGGCGATTGCTTTCTCATCACGGAAACAAATCGTCACAAAAACCCAAAACCATAGCCGAAACAAAAAGCGGAGAAAACAGAAAGGAAGGGCGACCGACCTCGACATGGCGATCGGAACGGAGGGAGACTGGAAGAGGCTAAAGTGCGCCGATGGAGTAGGAGGAGGAGGAGGTATAGGGTTGCTTTAACCAGCATTTTTTCTCATGGGACTCGAGCCTTTAGGCAGCGTCCTTGTTCATGCTCGACAAGCTTTCGACTTTTCGTTGGGAATAGGTCGGTGAGAATTAGGGTTTCGGACAACGTAAACAAGCAGCAGTCGGATCAAAGCGTTTCGGCTTGGAGGAGGAGGAAGAAGAAGAAGAAGAGGGCGGATGGTTAATTGGGTCGTTGTTGGGCCCGCTATCGTGGGCCTTACGCAATGCTACCTTTCCGAGTTGCCGACCTTTTGGGATATTTTGTCACGTTTAATAATTAATTTTATCACCCCAAGAGTGAGAAAGAGTCTTTAAAATAGAACTATGTATGTGTATTTAGTGACGGTTCAATTGCCACAAATTCCTAATTCATGTAATAATTATTTATTTAACCTACTAACGCTAAAACAAAAAGACTCGAAACCTCAATGTCCAGATGTACAAATATATGAATTATAAGATAATTTTATAACAATATAAGGATAAGGTTAAAATATAAAACAATACATAACATGTACAAATATTAAATCGAGGTACTTATTCTATGATAACTTTCAACAGTCTACCCTCCATTTTTGTGGCTTTAACGGGCTTAGTATTTCCGACGATTGTAATGATTTCTTTATCTTTTTACGTTAAAAAAAAAGATTTTTTTAGATACAACACGAACCAATCTTTAAAATAAAAAATTGCTAATAAAATTTATCCTTTAAAATTGCAAATCCGTATGTACATAAACGTTTTTGTTAAAAATATTTTATAAGAATCACATCAATTTTTCAAATAAAGATACAGGTGCTTGCTTTATTAGGAAACAAGGTACTTCGATTTGAACATGCTTTATGAAAATAACGAAGTGTTTTTCCAAAAAATATTATGACTCAAAAATACTTTAAAGTTGTTATTATCAAATACAATCAGAAGTGTTTAAATTGACGTAAAACTTACTAAAGAAATTAGATGTGGGTTCTATACGATTAAAAAGTATACCGCGTTCAGAAAAAACGAAGGGCAGAGATCAAATGATATGCGTGTTTGGCTCATAGCCTCCAAAGTGTTGCCTACGTAGCAGATGGAAGTCCACAAACAGCAATATAAAATAAATCTTAATAAAATTAATAACAATGTCTATGTAAGTCACGGGACTCTATTTGTTAGCTTATATCATAAATAGCAGATAGCACACATTTTATATGTGTAAATAGTTTTTCTTAATGAGGGTATATTTTTTTTTTAATATTACATAATTATTGTTTTGTTCTTCTTATGTAAATATTGTGTATAAAAAATGAAGGTAAAATTGGAAAAATAAGTATAAAAAAGAGAGTAAAATAGAAAAAATAAGGATATGGTTGTCATTTTGTCAAAAAGTACAAAATTACTAGTTTGCCCTCCTTTTGTCAATAGTGTGTATCAAAAGTGAGGGCAAAATAAAACAAAAAGTGGTAAAAAGTTAACAAAAAGGGTTCTCTTAATAATAATATAAATAATGTGGGGGCAAAGCAGCAGAGAAGTTGCGAGTATTTAACAAATATAGTAAAAAATTTACCCTTAATTTTAAAAGTGTCACTTTTTATAAAAATCTTTCAAATGTATCCAAAATTTCAACTAAATAGACACAAATATCCTCAAATTTAACAATCAAATAAATTAAAGTTTTTTTTGTCAAAATGATTTGTGATATTGACATAACTCCTTAATCTTGTCCTTAACAATTAATGATAATCGATAGTAGTGTTCTTGAATTTGTCTATCGTGTATCATTTTAGTCTTTCTTTGATTTTGTTCATCGTGATTATTTTAGTATTTTTTGTGAAAAAAAATCTGTCAATTGCTCTGTTAGTGTGATAATGTGGCACCACGTGAGTCTCACAAATATAATCATAGGACAAATTGGATTAATGATCCCCGTGATGATAGGGTGTTCGGATGATAGCCCATGTGGTAAAAAAAATTAGGATTTAAACCCCGTAGTGAAGAATGTTAACAAATTTAACCCAAAAGTAACATTTCCATCCAATGTCCGTTAAATAAAGGGATAAATATGTAATTTTGTCCAACCACGCTTCCTTATGTTCACGTTCTCTCTTCATCTCCATTCTCTCTCTAATTTGTGTCTCCACCAACATTTTCAAATGAATAATGAATCCCCGTGGCAATTCCAATCCGACGATAAATTTTGCAAATAATCTCAATTCTAAATTTTATTAATTCATAATTTTTTAGAAATTTCAATTGAATTGTTTTGAAATTGAAACATAATGCGGAGAATTGGTCTGTTTGGATGACGTTGGTGGAGAAACGGCCCTCCGTCGCCATCTCCGGCGTCTGGAGACCTACAAGCTTCATTAATGGAATTGTGAGAGATGCAAAGACTTCTTCGGCCTCCAACGTCTTGTCTCTCACCTAAACCCTAAACATCTTGTCTTTTCATGGGTAAGACTAGAAACTGTAGTCCCACGAAGATTGCAAATTTTGGTTCTCTCTGCTCCTCTTCCTTCTCTCTCTAGAAGTTAGAAAAGTCGCATCCACACACAAACCCAAATTCCCAAACCCAAGTCAGAGTGTTCAGAGCCCAAAGTCACACACACCTTCCCTTCTCTCTCTCCTCTCTCTCTAAAAATCAACCAGAAAACTTCAACAAAAAACCGTCTTTCTGGAATTCTGGAAAAACCAGCTTGAAATCCCCGGATACCGTTTCCAGGTTATCGGGTCTGACACCCATTTCACCAAGTATCCATTAAATACAGAAATAGGTGCGAGAAATTTGAGAAAATGAGACAAATTAGATGGATGGATACTTGGAGGAGACCGACTGGGATTTGAGATTTGAGTTGGTGAAACGCGATCTTCATCTGTTCGTGATCGCAGGCGACTCTTCTGACTTTCGATGCTGCGTTTTTACAATTTTATCCCTACATCTAATTGACATTTGACAAAAACGACAGTTTGGATTAAATTTGCTAACAATCTCCACCACAAGGGTTTAAATCCTAATTTTTGTAGTGTAGGGACTATCTTCCGAATACCATGTTACCACAGGGACCATTAATCCGATTTGGCCTATAATCATATAACAACATGTGGATTAACTTTAAAAACTATTTTTATATTTAAAACTAAAAAAATGATATTAGTAAGAAAAAAGGCGTTGAAGGCATGATTGAAATTATGCTGCTTCCACTTGCGGTAACCGTGGCGGCGCTCAATGTCGATGATGAGGGGGTCGAAGGGAATAGGGTCGTGGTGGTGGAGTGTAGAAGCGAAGGTGAAGTTGGACCGGAGCTTGAGGTGACAGTAGCTAAAAAGCCTTTAATTTATTTAATTGTTAATTTTGAGTGTATTTGTGTCTATTTAAGTGATATTTTGGATATATTTGAATTTTTTTATAAAAAGTGACATTTATGAAATTAACAGTTAATTTTTTGCTATATTTGATAAATACTCGAAGTTGCTAGTTGGAGAGTAAACTAAGAATTTACACTTTGTGTCATTCAAATACAATGGTTGGGGATGTTTATGGAGAACACTCAATCATTTCATTTGAACGACATGAGGTATAAGTTGGTGGAACGAACGGTTCAATGAACAAACATGCGATTTTGAGTTGAAGGATGTCATGCAAGCATTAGAAATGCTGAATCTGTGATTTCTCCAACGGAATCGAATTCGTCGGTCTTACTATCTGTGGTCGAATGAGCATAATGGATATACATACACTAGCATCCTAACCCTGAGTGAAGGTTTTTAATCAAGCAAAATCACTCTCACAGAGGGACATTTGGGAAGATACGGAATATATATGTAACTTGAAGCCCAAGGTTTCAATACCCATAAAAAGGCTAATTAGTCCAACGACGCAAGGGGAAAAGGGGTACAAAATTGTTCAACATTTTGTACTTCTGTTTGGTCCCAAAATATTAGTTTGGGCCGAGGGTAGGAACATTCTCGGCCCGAGAGGCCGTGCAGCAAAAGGGCCATGGATCGTTCAGCTCGTGGGCTTCCAAGCCTAGGTCAGTTTGATCAGAACGCAAGTCGAGTCCTAGTACAATAGGGAGTCTCGACGGGATCAGTAATTCAGAAAGCGAATCCGGCTCAGTTAAGGACTAGATTCATAGTCCTAGTGAAGGTAGGACTGGTCGAGGTGGTGTTGATCCGAAGAGGAAGACCTAGTCCGAGTAGGATTTTAACTCGGATTCAGGATCCAGTGCTATAAATAGGGGAAGCTGTGCGTCAGAAAAGCCCCCTGCAAATCAATACAAAATTGCCCTGCGCAAATTCTCACAACTTGTGATTTTTCTTTTTCTTTTTCGCTGACACATCTTCCGTTGGCATCAACAACACTGTGGAAGCAACCGGTGATATCTTAAGTCAGCATAGATAGCTCTGTCACTGTAGAATCAGTCGGTCTCGCAGTATCTTCCGTTGGCATCAACAGCACTGCGGCGAGAACGATTGATTACCTATCCAAGTCTCGGTCGAGAAGGATTTCTAAATCCTTATTGGTCGAGGTCATCTCATCAGCCTTCTCGGCGAAGTAATGTGTTACAAGTTATTACATTCGGCACGTTAAAAGCCGAATTTGATATTGAACTTCGTAAAAATAGTAGCCTTGTCTTCAGGTTCGAGAGCCCAATAGGCCGAGACGTGTTCCTTCCTCGGCCGCAATCGCAAGACGCAGAAGTCAGCCGCGCACCCAACGCAACATCAAAAAATTTACTCCTCGGCCGAGCTCGACCGACGAGTTGGCACGCCCCACAATCATCGAAGGACGTAGTTAGCTTATAGATTACTCGGCCTGCGCGCCACGTAGGCTTTGTAGTTTCTAGGGTCAACATTTTGGCACGCCCAGTGGGACCCAGTGCTAGACTACGAAGTTCATGCCAATTGAAACACAATCGGTAAAAAAGAAAACAGCTATGGGAAAGTCGACAACCGATTTGCCGAATCAGAACATAGGACAAAGTGTGCCGCAGGCGCAGAATCCCCTTAGCGCTGTGACACCTGAGTCCACGAGCGCGACTCGCCGAGAGAGAGAAGTTAATCTCGGCGGTCAACTACGCGGTCTAGAATACCCTAACAGAAGCACCTGCGTTCTCAATGAAGGGATAGTAGAAGAGTGCGATGAGGATGGTGGTGAAGGATCTGATTCGCCAACAAGGT